AACTTAAAGAACATCATAGAAAGGCAGCTCTATCACACTGCACTGCATGAGTGTCTAAAGCACATGTAGGGCTTATTCAGAATCCATTGCAAGCATCAGTATAAACATCCATAGATGCATTGTAAAATGTTTGCATGTTCAGTTCTGGAAAGACATATCATCGTAAACAAGCTTAATTAACAATTAACTCATCAAACGCATTCCCAAGACATATTTGTCTTATTATACTTTGATTCTCTGCAAGTTTGATTTACATACCAGTTCTAATCTCTGAACAAAACTTAATTCTCTCCCATAATGCACACCTAAAACAAGTTGGTCAATCCCTATTACTTTTACCTACTTAATGACACGTGTGTGACACTGAAAAAGATCAAACATTATATAGACATTAATGTATGCCTGCAAAGTTCATTATTGTTTCTATGTGTAGATGTATGTAAATGTTAATCAACCACATGAAAACAAAGCAACATCTTTTAATACAATATACAATGTTATTAATAAGCAAAATCCACATTAATTAAATTCCTATGCTTCCCTTGCCCCCCCCCCCCCCCCCCCCAAAAAAAAAAAAAAACAAAACAAAACAAAAAGAGACAAGACAAACAAAAGAATGGAAGACACATTATTTAACAAACTTGAATTGAAAATGAGATACCATAAAAAAACAAAGATTATGATCTAAAAAATGAATATGCCAACCCCCAGATAAATATAAACAAATAACTACATTAAATTCCCATTACCCACCATAAATTCACATAACCCCAGATAAATCATAGAAAATAATATAAAGTATACATTACTACAGTAAATTATGATAATGTAAGATAATATCCCACAACCCTAGAAATATAATAGAAAATTTCAAGTACCTGTACACAATACCTAATTGAATTCCCATAACCATTGATAATTCATAGAAAATGTCAATTGTATAATACTACAATAGAGTCCCATGACTCCAGATAAATCAGAGAAAATTTCAAGTATTCAATATACTATATTAAATTCCTATAACCCCATATACATGTATATAATAGAAAATGTGAAGTGTGTCATACCACGATAAATTCTAATAACCCCAGCTATAAATCCGAGAAAATGTAATGTGTACAATGCTACACTTGATTCCCATAGCCCTAGATTCATAATAATTGTAAAGTGTACAATAAAACATTAAATTCCCATACTCCCAGAGAAATCATAGAAAATGTATTGTGTACTATATTGAATTTCCAAAACCCTAGATAAATCACAGATAATATAGGCCTTTCAACTAATTTTTCGAGTTGTGTATATGGTAAAAAACATTTCATAGATAGATTTATAGATACAAGAAATTATCAAAAAAGATTATTACTTATGCATACCTTAAATTAAATCATTAAAAAGTTTAGTTATTAATAATTGACTTGTACGATGTTGTGTTTTAAGGACAGGTAACTCAAGTGTAGAAATTGACCAACTAAGTGCCGATTTATGAGTTATCGTTTATAGGAATGACATATAGGCTGCTTCAGTTGATATTGTTATTTACACAAAAGAGTTCCTTACATTGTTTTGTACACAAAAGTGTTGACCAAAAGAAGGAGAATGTCTTCACTCTACCTGAAATAACGGGGTCAAATGAATGGGGAACGGACTATATTCAAGATTTTTAACTCTCTTGGTCAATTGTTATGAAGAAGAAAATATAATTTCATGTTTTTTGTGTGTGCATTTTTGTGCTTCCTATATAAATGTATATATTTCTACAAGTAAATGCAACAATTAATTATCTTACTTAATTGTGTTACTAAGCACGAAGAAGAACGACCAAGTATAAAAATTGAATCAGGTTAAAACTTGGAAAGGGGATAGATTTCACTTTATATTTTAATTTAAATTTTTACATATATGTAATTAAACAGTGTCCGTAACTACATGGTAAACAAGTTTCACATTTGTGCTAAATTTTAAAACCACTGGATTCTACTGACAGCAAAGAAAGACTTGGAAAACGCTAAAAACTAACTTGCTTGAAAACAATTAGATCCCCGAAACTGCTCTAAACAAGTTCCGGTAATGAGTTATCGTTCTTAACATCGAACCCTAGCTGCAGTTGAAAGGCCGAGATAATATGAAGTGTGCAGTACTACAATAAATTCCTGTATAACCCCAGACAAAATCATAAAAAAAAATTCAAGTCTACAATACAAAATTAAATTTACAAAAGCACAGATACTTTATAAAATTAACAAGCATACAATACAACAAAAAAATTACATATCCCAAGGTCAATCATAGAAAATGTCATGATATGTACAATATAACATTAAATTCTTATAACCATATGTATAACACTACATTTAAATTCCATTACCCCATAATTAATTCATAGAAAATGTCAGGTGTAAAATAATTTATTAAATTCCCAAAACCCTAAATCAATAAATATCCTGTGTTCAAAACTATAACTAAACCCCATAACCCGAGATAAATCAGAGAAAATGTAATGTGTGTAATATGGCCATTAATTCCCATAACCTTATAATTATAGCTTCAGATCAATTATGGAAATTGTCACATGTACAGTTAAACAATAAATCTATGCCCCACCCCCCTCCCCCGATAAATCAGAGAAAATGTTATATGTGTGTAATACTACAATAAATTTTTATAACCTAGATATATTACAGAAATATGCCATGTGTGTGATGCTACAACAAAATCCCATAGTTTAATGTGATGTGTAAAATACTTAACTTTAAATGCCCATAAACCCCAGATAAACCCTACACATGTAATGTATACAAAACAATACACCTGTACTACATTAAATTCCAAAAATCCAAAAAAAATAATGACATAATACTAATAATAATGCACAATACTACAATAATTAATTCCAAGAATGCTAGATAACTCATTGATTAAAAAAAAAAAAAAAAAAAGACAAGTATTCAATACTCTATTATTCTGAAACTATACAGTATACAATACTGCATGAGAACCACACAAATCCCTATAACCAAAGATAATATAAATGATAGAAACTATTAACTTTTCAATGCTACATAAATTCCCATAACCCCAATAACCCCCAATATATCACAGAAACTATAAAGTATACAATATTACATGAAATTCCCTAACCCCATTAACCCCGAATAAATCATAGAAACTATAAAGTATACACTACTACACTAAATTCTTGTAACCCTAATTACCCCCTATATATTACAGAAACTATAAAGTATACAATACTACATGAAATTCCCTAACCCCATTAACCCCGAATAAATCATAGAAACTATAAAGTATACACTACTACACTAAATTCTCGTAACCCTAATTACCCCCTATATATTACAGAAACTATAAAGTTCAAAATACTACATGAAATTCCCTAACCCCATTAACCCCGAATAAATCATAGAAACTATAAAGTATACACTACTACACTAAATTCTTGTAACCCTAATTACCCCCTATATACTACAGAAACTATAAAGTATACAATACTACATGAAATTCCCTAACCCCATTAACCCCGAATAAATCATAGAAACTATAAAGTATACACTACTACACTAAATTCTCGTAACCCTAATTACCCCCTATATATTACAGAAATTATAAAGTACACAATACTACATGAAATTCCCTAACCCCATTAACCCCTAATAAATCATAGAAACTATAAAGTATACAATACTACATGATATTCTCGTAACCCTAATTACCCCAGATATATTACAGAAACTATAAAGTACACAATACTACATGAAATTCCCTAATCCCCTCAACCCCAAATAAATCATAGAAACTATAAATACAAAACAACATGAAATTCTAATACCCCCAATAACCCCCGATATATCTAAGAAACTATAAAGTGTAGATTACTAAGTGAAATTCCCATAACCCCATTAACCCCCAATATATCATAAAAACTATAAAGAATACAATGCTCCATGAAATCCCTATAATCCCACTTAATTCCACATACATCATAAAAACTATTAGGTATACAATACTGCAATAAATTCCCATCATCCCAAATAACCCCGAAATATCATATAAAGTATACAATACTACAATAAATTCCCATAATCTCAATGACCCCAGGTATATCATAGAAATAATAAAGTATACAATACTGTATAAAATTCATATTAATTCAAGACAATTCAAAGAAAAATAACTTACACATAACTTACCACAGAGAGAGTTATACTGTTGAATAATTAAAATAGCCCAAATAAATCATATAAAGTATATACAATAATGCATTAATTTCTATATCTCCAGATAAATCCTAGAAAATATCAAGTAAACAATACAAAATTAAATTTTCGTAACCGAAGATAATTCATAAAAATGTCAGTACAATGCTACACTGAATTTCCTTAACCCTAGAAAATGCCGTCTGTACAATAATACAATAAAGTTGTCAAAATTATCCATGAGCAAAAACTAAGGTTCCATTGCAGACTATTCTGGTGGTTTGCTCTGCTCCAGACTCTAAGGGAATTCTTAGAGGAAAACGACAGTGAAATTTTGATATCTCCCGAGTCTACCTCCAGGCCATATAGGAATTCTGGGAAGAACACAGTGAAAATATCCCCGGACTCTACCTCCACCGCTCCAGTTTGAGTAATATAGGGCAAGGCTCCTTGTCCAACACTATAGAAATACAATATTAAATTATATTTTTTTACCATGATATATAAAGTACAAGTATTAAGGGTATTAATGCAGATAATAATAATAGAAACAACCCAATTTTGCCTAAAATAATGTTCTTAGTCTATAGAAATACCCCCACCCCCCTTATTTTCATTTTTTACTGTGATATTTAACATACAAGTTTTTAGACAAAGTTAATGATAGATAATGATAGAAACAACCACTTTTGCCAAAACTAGGATCTTAGTTGAACAACTTACCAAGTCTGGTAGCTGTAAGATCAAATGTGATGAATGTTGGTTTTTCTATATATTCTTCAGCTTGCAAGAGGCACCAGATATTGGCTTGGTAAATGTTGACTTGGCAATTACAGACAGCCTTCACCCAAAGCCTGAAATAATAAAAGAACCAAATACGTTATAAAATTTTTAAAATGATTTAAAGGTTATTTTCAATATTATTCATTGATCTATGCCAATTCTGGAATAAACCTTCTAGAAGAGAATCATTTAAATGTGTAAATGTAATAATAATTCATGTTGATTATTAACTGACTTTACTTCAATAACTTTAATTGAATAGAAGAAGTAAATTTTTCAAGACTAGAACTGTTAATCCCTTTTTATTCACAAGAACTTTATTATCCTACAATAATACAAGTTAGACTGTTTGTTCGCAAAAGAAAAAAATTAATAAAACATAGCTCAAACTCTGTAAAGACAGACATCATGAGTAAAGCCTAGCTTTCCAGAACTATATCAAAATCTTAAATTAGAAAATCTTTCACACAAGTGCATTTCAGGTGTGGATCCAGGATTTTGCTTTCCCAGAGAAGGTGCTTTAAAATGGCAAGGGGCATTGGTTCTGCTGAGGTCCCAGAGAGGCAGGGTCCAGTTGGAGGTTTGGGGAAAAGCCCCCCCCCCCCCCCCCCCCCCCCCAGCTCCTGATAGTTCACAATTTGTAGAATCTTATTTTAGCACATAAATGACTTTATATTAATATCATAAATGACTGTCTTACATCAATGTAAGACAATGAAAATGATCTCTTGTTTTTTTGTTTTAGAGGGGGCAAGCGTATGAAGCACCTCTGCCAGAATCCATACCTGCGTTCTACGCATTTTTGAACAATACAGTATGTAGTAATCTTTAAAATAAAAAATTACCATTGATGATGATCATCACTTCAAATGTATTTTGGACATTTTTTGGCAAATGGCTTCTCTCCTAAGGCTTGTAGTACCTAAAGAAGGTTAGGTTTGAGTTTGGACCCTCCAGAACTAATTAAATATTAAAATAATTATATTCTCGTGAATATTAAGCATTCATGAATACGCATTACTACATGCAAAAGCAGAAATTTTAGCTAGGATTAAAATTTGGCATTATTTGGCAAGTGTTCAGATGGCTAAAATTGAATTTTGATATTTACCATAATGATTATATGGACAGTTGATCAAAGCAGTCAAATACATCCTGGTCAATTTCACAGCAGATAAATTCTACCAGTCTATAATTGTCACATCTCTGAAGAGAAACATAACAGAAGTTAGCATTACTGATAAATGCTGCTCCTTCATCTTTAAATAATTTTTTAATATGATAAAAAGTTAAATTTTAAATTTACCAAAAAATCCATCTTAAATTTTAGCTAACTCTAAATCCCGAAAAACTTCTTGAATTCTTCCTCCTCTTCTGTGAAATAGCCCTAAAATAAAAAAATTGTCTTATAATTATAAATGTACTGTATGTTAATTACTGTAAACTAACTATTATTCGCGTGCAAGAAATATTTGCGAATTTCACAACCTACTTTAACTCGTGAATATTAATCACCGCGAACCATTTATTTTGCTTTGTATTTGTATAGAATAATTCCTCATTTGCAAAAATTAATCGTCGCGGATCGATTTGAAACTAACGAGTCACGAATAAAAGATATTACATGAATAATAGTTGGGTTACAGTATTTACATCTATACTTTAAATCACCTTTTTTTTCAATAACTTTATTTTTGTGTACTTATGAAAGAATTCTGTTAGTGAATATTTTACTCTCATATATATATTTAATTCAGAAAGGATCAATTTGTAAATCATTAACTAATTTTGTTAAAATTTCACTTTGCAAGAATACATGCATCAAAAAATCATCTTGCTAAAATAGGGTTCACAAAATATTTTTGACCTACAGACTACATTTAAATTAATTACCTTGTAAGAGGTATTTTCTATAAATCATAATTTTGCTTACAATATCATTTCTTTCACTAAGGCCGTCATGTTTTCTTTCTTCATGTTTTCCTCAGCATATTTCTCCATAGCCACTCTCCTCTCCATTGATTTCAAACTTCTGGTATGAATGGTATTAGCAGGATGTTCATTAGATGGGGATTACCATCAGTGTCGATCCTGGCTATAAGAGACATCTATTTGTCATTCTTTTGGTATAATTTAATTACATCGTACAACAGGATATTAATACGTACATCATTTATTCCCACAAAATCATGGTTAAATAGATTAATCTTTTAAGAAAGCTCTTATAAACATGTATGAAAATGTTTTCTGATCACTTTTAAGAAAATCAATAATTGTATCATACAATTATAAAAATGTAGATTTTTATCTTCTTCAGCTTTGACAAAAGGTGCTTGCCGTATTTCTCCAGGTAAAATATCCAAAAAAGTATTATGGAACAAAAATCACTGATGTTTACTAATTCATTAAGGAAATATACACATTTTTTTTTAAAAAAAAAAAAGATCTTTATCTTGGTCCAATATATTATGGATACAAGTAGTCATTTTTATATTGCGTCATTTACTGAAAATTGTTTCTGTTTATTCCATTTTACAAAACAGGGCAGATCATTCCAACTGCATAACTTCCTTAGAATCAAAACTCTTCAGTAAGAAGTATTCAGAGCTTTCTTAATTAACAAATTTGTAAATAACATACCTGCACTGGCTTCTGTATACAAAAACTGGTATCGCTACTCGTCTTCAGCGCCTTCACATCTTCAGTCCATTTCCTTTGCCTCTTCTTGTACAGTATTCTGTTGGGTCTCAGATAAAAAGTGAACTGAACATGTATATCCACACAATTCCAGACTCATTGTGACCTTAACAGTTTCCTTGCTTAGACAGAGGTCAGCATTTACAGTTCCATGGTCAACAATTAACTTTCAAGAGCATCTAGAATTTCTCCACTCCATGGCATTTTCATTACACACCCCATATAATTCTCAGAAAATGTTTGTACAATATCATGCCAAATTCCTATAACTTCAGATCAATCAGAGAAAATGTCATAAATACAATGCTACAATAAATTTCCATAATCCCAAAGAAATTGTCATGTGGCAATTCTACAAGAAATTCCAATTACTTCAAATAAACCATAGATGGGACAGTCATGTGTACAATACTACAATAAATTCCAAAACCCCAAGATAAATTACAGATAATAACTTATGTACAATCTAATAAAGTCCCATAACACCAGATATATCATAGAAAACATCACATGTACAATTCTAAAATAAATTCCCATAACCCCAGATATATCATAGAATATTGTCATGTGTACAATACTACAATAAATTCCCATTACCCCAGATATATCATAGAACATTGTCATGTGTACAATACTACAATAAATTCCCATAACCCCAGATATATCGTAGAATATTGTCATGTGTACAATACTACAATAAATTCCCATTACCCCAGATATATCATAGAATATTGTCATATGATCAATAATATAACAAATTCCCATAACCCCAGATGATATTACAGAAAATGTCGTGTACAACACAACAGACCTGCCTACCCTTTTCATTGCAGAAATGAAGTCTAAAGCTTAATTTTGGTGGAATTTCAGAGGCAAAAGCATAATTCTTCAAATTTTACAATTTTGTCATCTCATCGCATTTCTATCTCATCTAAACAGTTCTGCCTGCTATATATCATAAAATGAAGAGAGTAAAAACATTTTAAATCATTCATTATTAACATTAACTTCATTTGTTGTAAAACGACGACATTCTAACATTCATTAAGTCATTGCAAATTACAGTTTACATTTAATTACAACCTACTAGCATTAAATTGAGCGAGAAGATATTCAATAAATTGTGTTAAATACTTCTTGAGCTTATGGTACTGTTAAAGTATGATACAAAGGAAGCAATAATCATAACTGACCAACCAAAAAATATTAAATAATGCATTTTTTCAGCATAAAAATTTTAAATGCATAAAATTGATTGTCATGGCATAACAACTTATTTTAGTTTTAGAAAGCAGAAGAATTATGCCAAAAGTGGAAGGGTTGCCAGGTCTGATATTACAATAAATTCCAATAACCCCAGATATATCATAGAAAATGTCATCTGTACAATACTACAATAAATTCCCATAACCCCAGATATATCATAGAAAATGTCATCTGTACAATACTACAATAAATTCCCATAACCCCAGATATATCATAGAATATTGTCATGTGTACAATACTACAACAAATTCCATGTGTACAATACTACAATAAATTCCCATAACCCCAGATATATCATAGAATTGTCATGTGTACAATACTACTGTTCAATAAATTCACATAATCCAAGATATATCAAAGAAATGTCATGTGTAAAATACATGTACATGTACTACAATAAATTCCCATAATCCCAGATGTATCATAGAAAATTCCATATGTATAATACTACAATAAATTCCTATAATCCCAGATATATCATAGAAATGTCATGTATAAAACACTACAATAAATTCCCATAATCCCAGATATATCATAGAAATGTCATGTATAAAACACTACAATAAATTCCCATAATCCCAGATATATCATAGAAATGCCAAGTGTACAATACTACAATAAATTCCTATAATCCCAGATATATCACAGAAATGTCATGTATAAAACACTACAATAAATTCCCATAATCCCAGATATATCATAGAAATGCCATGTGTACAATACTACAATAAATTCCCATAATCCCAGTTATATCATAGAAATGTCATGTGTACAATACTACAATAAATTCCCATAATCCCAGATATATCATAGAAATGCCAAGTGTACAATGCTACAATAAATTCCCATAATCCCAGATATATCACAGAAATGTCATGTGTACAATACTACAATAAATTCCCATAATCCCAGATATATCACAGAAATGTCATGTGTACAATACTACAATAAATTCCAATAATCCCATATATATCACAGAAATGTCGTGTACAATACTACATTAATTGTTAATTTTGATTCAATGTGTGCATCCCAATGCTAATTCTTACATTCATAATAATCATTAAAATATACCAGGTCAAGTTTGGTTATCAAAATAATTTTTAATTCTCAATCTTTTTGTCAGATGAAAGTAAAGACAGTTTAATCCTAAACAATAGTCAATGATAAGCCTGAAAGGTATACCTCTCAATATGCAGCTTCTGAAGTGTGCATTATATAAAAAAAGCATTTATAGGTTTGCTGCAATATCTGCAGTATAAACAACGCATTTATAGGTTTGCTTTAATATCTGCAAATTGTATTAATGGGACCTGAAGCAAACAGTCAGACAGACAGACAATCATCTACAAATAAGTTGTATCTTCAATAAAAAAAAATACATTAGTTACTGTCTTTAAACTGAAAACAAAAAACAATATATGCAGATTAGTTCCAATTTCAATGAGAAAATACAGTTACTGTTTATAACCTGAAAAAAAAAAACCAAACAAACAAACACATGATCTATTCCAATAAGTTTCAATTTTAATGCAAGAAAATGGATATATATATTGTCTTTCACCTGAAAAACAAAAGACACAATCTATTAGTTCCAATTTCAATGAGAAATACATACAATTAGTAACTTCTTGAACCTGAAAAAACAAAACAAAACCAAAAAAAAAAAAAATCCAATATTTATTCAAAGTAGTTCCAAGTTCAATAAGACAATAGTTACTGCCTGTAACCTGAAAAACAAAACACAAAATCTGTGCAAATTATTTCCACTTTCAATGAGAAAACACATACAGTTAGTAATTATACTTCTTAAACATGAAAAACATAACACACAATTAATTCAAATTAGTTCCAACTTCAATAATGACAAAAAACTGATACAATTACTTCTTTAAACCTGAAAAACAGAACTGAGAAAATCTATGCAAGTTAGTTCCAATTTCAAATGAAAAAATACAGTTACTACATGTCTTTAACCTGAAAAAAAAAACAACAAAACAAAACAATGTATTTAAATTAGTTCCAATTTCAATGAAAAATACACTTATTAATTACCGTTTTGAACCTGAAAAACAAAACACACAATTTATTCAAAGTAGTTCCATTTTTAATGAGAAAATACAGTTACTGTCTTAAACCTGAAAAAAAGTTCCAATTTCAATGAGAAAAAAATTAGTTATATGCTCTACAATCTGAAAAACAAAACACACAATCTAGGCAAATTAGTACCAATTTCAATGAGAAAATTAATAGTTACTGTCCTGAACCTGAAAAACAAAACACAATTTATGCAAATTAGTTCCAATTTCAATGAGAAAATAATAGTTATACCCTCTTTAATCTGAAAAACAAAACACACAATCTAGGCAAATTAATAGTTCCAATTTCAATGAGA